TAATTATATGGATAATATAATTATATGGATAATATAATTATATGGATAATATAATTATATGGATAATATAATTATATGGATAATATAATTATATTGATAATATAAGAACAATAACAATAACTACGTATAATACATTAACCTATAATGCATTAACCTATAATGCATTAATGATAATGCTAAATGTTCAGATTCAAACGTACGTACGTACGTACGTACTTTCAAACGTATGTGCGCACACAAGATATATACAATAGATCATGCGACCTTCAAATCACTGGAATTATTTATAATAAAATCATTGAAATTTCCATCAGCGGGCAACTTCAAAGCAGCCATTACTTCATCCATTGGATTTACTACTGTTTTATTTTGGGATGAAATTGGTGTGATGGTAACTTGTTCATGTGACACTAGTATTGTTGATGACGTTTGTTTCCTCTTTTTGTTAAAAAAAAAAGTATATATATATTATACATATATATTATTATTATTATTTTCAATATAATACTATAATAAAGTAACGCATGATTTATAAAATTTTTATGTACGTACCTTTACATGAAATTGTGATGGAGAATTTGGAGAATTTGGAGAATTTGAAGTAAAAGAAGAGTTTTGAATTGGTTTCGATTTTGGTATTTGTTGAGTTGGAGTATCAATAGATTCTAAACGTAAAGCAGCAGCAACTTCTGCCATTTGAGTTTTAACTTTTTCAGGCTATAAACAATAAAAGTAATTAATTAAATTTAGTTAGAAAAAAAGAACGACATTAATATGATTAATTAATTAATTAAGTTTCAGAGTAATTTACAGAATAATTTACAGAGAAACTTACATCAACTTTTCCACTACGCAATTCAGCAATTCCGATATGTCCAGTATGCTATTATTATTTCAAGAAATATAAAAGATTACGATCGTTATAAAAAAATACGCATTTACTATATTTATAATATTTATGATATTTATTTACCTGAAAGTTTGAAGGAAGGCTGATGAGAGTTTTATGAATTTTTTTTGGTCGTTTAAAAGGTTTAGTTTTTCTGGTACTGTTATGATCGTTATCATGAAAGAAATTCAATTTTTTCTTTGGATTTAACGATTGTGAACTAATACCAATATCTTTTGATTTTTTGTTAGAAGAGGAGGCGCAATTACCCATCGTTAATATCGTTAATATAGTATTAAATCAAAAAGTGTTCTTGGATAACGTTTATAATGAATGATAAGTTTAAAACCAATTAATCATGAAATTGAGATAATTTTTTTTTAAAATTTCTGTTCAAGACACATATATACTGTATATATATGTTTTTTTTTTACATAATTGTTTTTTTTTCAGTTCTTTCGTTAAAAACTATGAGACAACAGATTTTTTTTTTTTATCGATTAATTCCTTAGAAGGAAGAACGTTTCTTACACATCGATTTGTTTCACTAATTTATATTATTCATCAACTACGAGCCTATCAATAGTTATTTGTTAAATTATTTATAGATCATGAAGAACATTTATTTAACTCCAAAAGACTCTGGCTTCTTTGTTTTAGGTCATACATGATTGCTCGAATCACTAGTTGTATAACATAAATAATAAAAATTCATCACATGAAATATATACAATACGTAATATATATACATTATATACTAATATGTAAATATGTTATGAATATCAATATGCAAATATACTGTACGTATCAGTATAATTTTTATTCATCATTTACTTATCTGACTAAATTACGTATTTTAAGGTACGTACTACCAGTTTCAGAAATACAGTTTGGTACAGTTTAAGTTGAACGTACGTACGTACGTACGTACGTAGTATGTACGTATGTACTAAGAAATACCAGATTCAAACATCGATCAAACTAAAGTGATCAAACTAAGGTTATTATTGAAAAGTAACAAAAACCGTTGTTCATTGTATTGTATTGTATTAATCGCATACAATTACCAAATATTTTTTATTCAAATAATTTTTATTCAAATGATTTTATTCAAATAACGATAATTTTTATTTATTCAAATAATTCAAATACTTTATACGTATGTAAATGCTGATTCGTATTAAGATCAAAAAAGGTTAAAAAAAAGGGTTTACGTAAGTAGTTAGCCGTAAATGCATAAATTTTGTTTAATATTCAAAACTTTCAAGTATAGAAGTTATAGAAGATCATAAACCTATTGTTTGTATTATTGTTCGATACGATATACTTATGTATACAATATTTGATACTTTGATTTGTTCCAAAAATAGTATTAGAATAAAATAATTTTCGTATGCAGCAAAGTGCGGTAGTTTAAGTTGAGTTTGAAATAAAACCATTTGATACATTTTCTTTGTATTTGTTTTTATTAATAAAACGTATTTTTAGAAAAAAGTTTTTTCTTTAAATAATGTTTTCATTGAGTTTTCAAACTGTTTTTAAACAGTGTTTCTTTTTTAAATATAGTATTTTTAACCAAAAATTTTTTAACCAAAATTTTTTGCATAAGAAGTGTCAGTCACTCATTATCATTATCATTGTTATTTTTTGTTGGATCATTTGTTCGAAATTGACGTCTAAGCATCATTGTTGCAAGTTCTTTGTGTATTCGCTCAAGTGAAAAAATTTTATTCCAAATTCGTATAACAAAAAAAAAATTTTATGATCGTTATTATAAAAAAACTTTATGATCGTTATTATATCAGTAAAAAACTAAACACATTGGGAAATCCTTATGTATCTACGTGCGTACGTACGTATAACAGATAGTGTTTCAAACAATTGATTAAAATATGGTAAAGAAAGGAATTGGTAACAAAGAAGTTTATGCGTGATATGATGTTGTGTAATTTACCAAATTGTTTATACAGATCAACCCTTGTTAAATAATTTCGTCTGACCATTATTTACGTACGTACGTACGTACCCGAGATTTAACATGAAAAATTAATTTGCCTATTTTGCAGCAAATAACGTGTGTTTAATAACTTGTGTTTAAATAACGTATGTATGTTTAAATAAATAACGTGTGTTTAAATAACGTGTTTAAATAACGTGTGTTTAAATAACGTGTGTTTAAATAACGTGTGTTCGTTCATAACTGATAACGTGTTCATTCATCAATAAAAAATTAATTTTAAACCTCCGTGATATCTGCTTCAAAAGACAAACCAAACTCTTGATAAGACTCTTGATAAGTCTTTTGATAAGACTTTTGACTGATAAGACTTTTGACTGATAAGACTTTTTTGATAAGACTTTTTTGATAAGACTTATACGTTTGAGCATTGTATCAGAGGTTAAAATCAGTGCGGAAATTAATTATGTACGACGTACGTAATATCACATCCTTATTGCATAATTAACACATTGCAAAAATTAACTTGATACAAATCTTGAATATTGCATACGTAATTAACATATTGCAAAATTAACTTGATGCAAATCTTGAATATTGCATAATTAACATATTGCAAACATTAACTTGATACAAATCTTGAAATTTCTTGAAGTTTATATGTCATACAATATATCAATTTTGATGTCTATAACTTTATTTTTTAAAAAAAAATCTTAACGTACGTACGTACATACATACAGTACGTATATACGTTTGAATAAAAAAAAAATGCATAGTATGGTTGATGATTAAAAAAAAAATTGTGATTTTTGTTTGGTAAAATGAAATGTTAAAAACAAAGAATAAAAAAAAAATAGAAAGAAAGAAATATATATATATATAAACATATTAATTTTAATTTTCACAAAACTCCCTCCAAAATATCTCCAAAATATCTTCAACAAAATATCTTCAACAAAATATCTTCAACAAAATATCTTCAACAAAATATAAATGTTTCAAAATACAAATGATTTTAATGATTTACAATTATTCGGAAATCTCAGAAATCATAAAAATCTTCAGGTTCTTTGGATAAACTTTCGATATTTTGGGTTTCTATCAACGGTTTCGTACCAACTACCAAGTTATCCTCAATTTTTTTCCACAACACATTTCTCAAATTTTGACTCAACTTTTGATTGGTGACTTTTCGTGCCAAGTTAATCCAGCTTGGTACAGTTAGGTCTTTCATATGATAATCAACCCAAGTTGAATACTCAACCACATATTCTGGTTCTTCATCTGGGAATAAATTACTAACTGTAAGATTAATAAAATATTGTGTATATCCTAACGGTGTAAGGAATGTATTTATATGAGAAGGTGCATTAGGATCTTGACCCTTTGGTAGTTTATTCTTTTTTGATCCTTCAAGACCATCATCATCATAAACATAATCGTCGTCGTCATAATAATAATCGGATTTGGTATTTGCAACTTCAGTCGTATTATATTTAAAGATTCTTAATGCTGGATAAAATACAGGAATTATAGATGGATTGATATGAATAACCGCATATTCTTTACCGACACCTTTAGTAAGTGGAGGAACTGATCGATAATGATTATAAAGTTTGGCCAGGTATTTGTTAATTTTGGATGGTGATTTGTTGACTAATGTTTTAAATTGTTCTTTATCATAATTATCGTAATCTTCTGTATAATCTTCAATATAATCTGAATAATCATCATACTCATCATCATCATCATCATCATCATCATAATAATCACCATCATCAATATAATCATCAATATAATCATCTGCATAATCTTTTGCATGGAGAGAATCATTACGTTTAAATTTGCCCAAATCATTCTTTGCTCCAATAAAAAAGAAATGATCCATATTTGAATGACCATAATAATGTCCTAATATAAGATCATGAAAATCTATTGAAATCTTTTTGTATGCTCTATAACAAGATTTCGTATATTGTTTCTTTCTTGGAGCTACATGACCAATAAGGTAAACTCTCATTCCTCGTTTTCGAGCCCTTTTTAATACATTTGTTAACCATTCCATTTCAATTGTTCCTGGTTGATTTGGTGCTTTACATCCACTAACAGCAGTGTTGGAATTATAAAAATATAAAGTATTTAATGATATAACCATAAGTTTGTTAGGAATTACTTCGTTATAAAAATATCCTCCTTTAAGGAATGTTGCTCGTTGATTTCCAGGTATAAAAGGTTCCCAAATTTTATGAATATTTGCAAGTATATCATTTGGCCCGGGTAAAAGAATGTTATTAGGAAAAATATCATGATTTCCTATTGATGGAACTATAGGTATAACTCGTGGCTTATTTTTTCCTCGTATTCCTCTAGTGGAAAACGTTTCAAGAAATTTCGATGCAATCATTCGATTTAATTCAAAAATTTCATGAGATGTTCGTGGTTTGCTATTATCGTTATCATGCCTATTACATATATTAAAATTAATATTATAAAATTAAAAAATAAATATTATAAAATTCATAATATTAATAATATTAATAATATTAATAATATTAAATTTAAACTAACCTAGAGTTATCACCCGTCCATATGATAAAGTCTAATCCTTCTTTCCAATTTCTTTCTAACCAGTTAAATGTTGCATTCACCAAACTCATAGGAGAGTCGCATGAAGAGATTGATGTTCCCCAAGTTCCCGCGAATCTTGGGTTCTTGTTCTTTGGATGGCCTCCATGACATTTTGATTTAACTGTGGTATTTGCTACATAATAAGGATCTGGATGAAAATCCGTAATATGAAGAAAAGTTCCATGTAATGACCCTCTTTTTGAAGTGCTTAGAGAAGGTTCGTTGAGTGTCTCAAAAGTAAAAAATAAGAAAAAGAATAAGACAAAAGCAGGTATTACAAATGTAAAGAACTCTTTGCCTGTCATTATTTTATTATAATAATTAGAAAATTATTATAATTATTATAATAACGACTATTGTAAATATTGCAAATAATAATTATTTGAAAACGATTATAACAATTATAACAATGATTATAAAAACTATTGGTAAGTAACGAAAGACAAAAAAAAACCTTTTGGATTTTTCTGATTTTTCTGATTGTGTTAAAAAAACGCTTTTATATAAAGTATTATCTAAAATATATTTAATCTATTTAATATATTTGCGGAGTAATAGATCAACAGTTAGTTTTAATACAGTAATAAAGAAGCTAAACATTTTCTATGACGTTTTATCCATATCAAGCAACAACCTGTCAACATTTCAAATTTCAGAATTGCATAAAGAACACGTAATAAAAAAAAAATTTTTTTTTTATTACATTTTATGTTTCATCAATATTTATTTATATGGCGCTAAGTTTTTACTACGGTATCGGTAATGTATTTTTAATTGATTAACCGAAATTCCGAAAAGTCCGGTTTTGTCCTTTGAATATTACCAATTCATTCTTTTTTATAGTATAATCGACCTTTTTGGAAGTGAACAGCCACAAAATATTTTCATTAAAAATGCATTAATCTCATTGTTATACTACTACAAGCTCTGCAAGATGGTCGCGTGCTTTCCTTTTATGGATTCACGTTACAAATAATTGTTTTTTATTGGTAGACTTTATCACTCGTGTTCATGTATCGACATTTTATTTGATCATTCGGCTTATTCCATATCTGTGTTATATATGGTATCTGCGTACCCAGTACGTACGTACATACATACCAGATACATACATACTGATACGTACGTACAGGTATTTAGTAAAGTAGTACTGTACGGCAGTACAAATTTTGACGGACATACGAAAATTATACCAAATTTTGATCATACGTACGGTTAATATATACTTGCAAGTTTCAATTTTTATAAATAGCCCTTTTT